CATGTTCTGCATGTCTCTGTGTGAATGAATTGGCGCAGAGACGCGTTTTTGTTTACTACATACATACTGAAGCATTTTTCCATTTTAATGGATAAAAACTATCGTCATATCATATATACACAGAAACTCATGGCATCCCGCCAAAATAAAAGTTTGGTTTAACTTGAAGAAACTGTGACAGAAATATATTACTATTGTACGTCTTAATGAAATACTACTATTAATAATAATAATAATAATAGATCAGAAATAATCACACAAATTTTCTTCCATGTTTTAATTTTAACAATAAAACTGTTGTGCAACACTTTGTATGCCAATAAAATGAAAGGGTTTGTTTAACATTCATTTGATTAAAAGAGAAACTAAATTAATGTTTTAAGCCTTCATTTGATAAAAATGAAAAAAAAAATTATATTAAATGAATTTGTTTTATGAATTCAATTATTTAGACATGCTTTTGATTACTAAAATTTAATTAAACTATTAAAATGGAATCCCGAAAAATTAAATTTGAGAAAAAAATAAAATGTATTTCATAGGTCCCTAAAAATTTAATTTTTTATTAAACTTGTAATAAATTGCTGTTAAATTGTATAAGTTTCATGATTTCAATTTATCAAACATGCTTTTTGATTAATACAATTTAATTTAACCATTAAAACTGAGTCCAAAAAAAAACACAGAGTCCAGAAAAATTAAAATGGAAAAAAACGGAATTTGGAAAAAAATAAATAAAAATGATTTCATAGGGCCCTATTACTGACCTGACAATCAAACACACCCTGAGCTTTCCTGCACTAATACTGAAAAGAAGTACACAAAAGAAACGCAGTGTGCAGATGGAAAATGACAGAGGTTTATTATGCGGACTGTGTGTCCTTTATAAAGGAGATGAAGGAGAATATGAATATTAATGCAGTGGTAGGACGCTGGTAAGGAAGGTTTTTTTTTGTAATCCAACACTAGCCACCCGTCAGATACACCAACAACAACACTCTCAGAATAGTAATCAGCCCTCTCTCCCACAGTTTCGCTGAACTTCCCCTCGCTGTGGGTGGTCTGTCTTTCAGTATCCTTCACACTGTCTCTAATCCAGCTCAGACAGAAAATGTCTGGCTTCTGGAAAATTGCTCTCTATATTCCATTCTTTTAAGTGTAATGAAACACACATTAACACTTGCCCACACAGCAGCACAAATCAGCTACAGTACCAACACAGAACATGGTATCAATCACTTAGCAACACCCTAGCGACCACCTATAACAACCTAGAAACACTCTAATGACAACTCAAATAACCAGTTTTCATGTTCCTATCATCCCCTTAGCAACCTACTAAAACACCCTATCAACCACACGGCAATGTCCTAATGACCCAGAACCCCCTAGTAACTGCTAGCACCACCCTAGGGACCACTGTTTTTGGGATCATTGACGAATCGATGTGGGATTTTTGGTGGGTGCAGTGCACTGGTAACCATGACCACCCTAGAGACCACCTAGAGCGCCCTAACAACCACTTAGCAACACCCTAGCAACAACCCAGAACACCCAGCAACCACCTAGCAAAGCCCTAGTAACCAATCAGAACCCCCTAGTTACTTAGCAACACCCTAGTAGCTAGAACCCCCTAGTAACCGATTAGTAACTATCTAGCAACTTCCCAGAACACCATAACCACCTAGCAATACTCTAATAACCACCCAAACCCTGCTAGCGACCACCTAGAACCCCCTAGTACCCATTTAGCAACACCCTAACGACCACCCAGAATCCCTAGTAACTGCTAATCAACACCCTAGAGACCACCTAGAACCCCCAACAACTTATCAATACCTTAGTACATTTACATTTAGTCATTTTGCCGACGCTTTTATCCACAGCGACTTACAATCGGTAACCCCCAGAACCTCCTAGTAACTGCTTATGAACACCCTAGCGACCACACAGAACACCATGACCAACTAGCAAAACCCTAGTAACCCCCAGGACCCCTTGTAACTGCTTAGCAACACCCTAGCGATCACCATAACCACCTAGCAATACCCTAGTAACACCCAGAATCCCCTAGTAACAGCTTAGCAACATCCTAGTGGCCACCCAGAATACAATAACCACCTAGCAATACCCTAGAGACCACCTAGAACCCCCTAACAACAATCTAGCAACACCTTAGTAACTCCCAGAACACCCTTGTAACTGTTTAGCAACACCCTAACAACCACCCAAAACACCATAACCACATAGCAATACCCTAGTAACCCCCAGATTTCCCTAGTACCCATTTAACAATACCCTAACGACCAC